CGGTCAGTTTTCTAGACTGAAATTGTCAGCTACACTCTTGTTTTTTTCTGTTTCTGTAAAATTCTCACGTTTAATATCAACAACCCACCTCTTCTGCACGACTTTGTCTTTTGGAAACGTGTGGAAACTAAGGTAACGTTAAGAGTTCAATTTTTGACGCTGTGCATTGCTGAACACAGCAGTGGTATCTACAAGTACTGTTCTCACGTCTTTGAAATGACACTTTTAAACGTTTAGATGTCATATTTATGTAGCTGACATAGACATATATAAGTGGGCTATAATGGCATAAAACATTAAGACAACTGTCCAAAACATTACTCGTTTTTATCAGTAGCGGTCCTGTTGTAGCACTGTACTGTACGATCGGCGGAAGTAGGCTCGGGGTCTTAAATTTTACCGGAAATGCGTCACGCGCCGCCGTGCATAGAGCCCATTCCCTGACTTTGGTCATTGGAATCTATTAAGTTACTTGTTCACGGGTAACATGTTTTGGTTAAGCGCAAAGATAAGTTAATGATTAATCCAGGTACTAATCCAGGACTGATTGCTTGCCTTTATTTCCTACAATGTATAAACTTATTGTATGTTATACTTTTATAATTATCGATTATTAAAACTGATATTCAGCAGAAGAGAGGGTGTGTTTCGTATTTTCACTAAAATTGAAAGGAGGCAGTTGTTATTGGCTCCGTTTTGTTATAAATATCCACACAGTGAAGATAACGCCCATATATGCAGCACGACGCCTCAAAATTTCTGCTGTCTGTTAAGTTGTTAATATTAAAAAGAAAATAGGCAGTTCCTTAAATCATGTTTACATTTTATTGTTGAGAAAGTGAAACAACGTAGCCAAGGTGATGTGAATGAAGTTATAAAGTACACTCTTCCCTTTGAAGATTTACCCGTGTCCTCGGTATGTTTCCCATATCAAACTGAGAAGGGGGAGACTGCAGCCTTGATCAAACTTGCGAAGTCTTAACTTACAAGAAGAGAATGCAGGACTGAACTGTGTGTGGGCTACTTAATATTGAGGAAAAGCCCCAATCAGATAGGCGAACGTTTGCAGCCCCGCCTCCGTTTTCAGATGTCTCCGTTTTCCATCATCCACACTGAGACGGAGCAGCAGCGTTTCAGGATGAAAACGGCCTCTCCAGCGTTTTCGAAACGCTCCGTTTTCGGCGCTCGAGAACTCCGGCGTAGTGTGGACGGATGGCGTAACCGTAGCAAAACTTATGCGTTTTCAAACTAAAACGCACTAGTGTAAACGGGGCCTTAGTCACATACCTGTCTGATGGCTCATTATGCAGGTCTTTGTCTTCTCAGGTGTGACTAAATGCATAGTAATAATAATTCACGCCTTCTTGCATAAACCAGTTTCACTCAAAAAGTGACTTAGACTTTTTAATTCATTATATTGTTTTCTGTGAGCAAGTTAACAAGATGATTCTCACATCATTTTGAAACAAAAACACTAGGCTACAAGATCCAGTTATCAAAAGTCTTGTGCACAAATGTTCTCTGTGTGTTTCATGGCCTTGTTTCAATGACTTTAGTTTTTTAGTTTTTCACTAACCACACATAAATGTTTCTTTCTCAAAAACACAAACATATACAAACATTCTGCTTAAGTATTATTGTAGCCCGACTTGTGCTGTTTACAGTGTTATCACACTTTGGCCATTTAAATGTTTTTAAGATACTGAAAACGACACAAATATCAGTGCATGTCCAAATCTCTCCAGAGCCCCAAAACACCCTTAGACCCCAGAGGGTTAATGTTATTGTTGGGTTTAGATTTGGGGTAGGTGTAAACGTTAATAACACACAATTTTGTAAATTACTAATGCGTAATTTAGCCCTTTCACGGGTACAATCACACCAGTGTGATAAGCTTTGGCTGGTTGCGTACGATCACACCGGTACAATCACACAGGTGTTATCAGCCATGGCTGGTTCCAGAAGAGTACAATCACACCTGTGTGATTAGAATGTTCAGAGCACACATCATCATCAACTGCTAAAATTCAAATCTGACGCGCGCTGAGGCACAAAAAGAGGTGCGCAGCCCTTGTCATGAATCACAATTTATCCATTCTTTCAAACAAATGACATTCATTTTAGGTTTCAGACATTCAATTACACATAACTACAAGCAAAACATTCCATTTAAGGTTTGTAAAATACAAACGAATGTGTATATTAACGGCAATAATAATTATTTTTCTACATCACTGTATGATGTATGATCTTTTCTATTCCTCTCCCAGATAAACAGTTCCTTACCTTCATGTATTTTAGAAGAAAATTATGAATACACATGTATTTGGGATTGTCGAAAATGTAGGCTGCACCCTTAAAATGGTTTGTGAAAACAAAAATTACCAGACGAAGTAGAGTTGAAGTCAAAATTATTAGCCCCCTTTTACATTTTTTCCAATTTCTGTTTAACGGAAAGATTTTTTTTAACACATTTCTAAACATAATAGTTTTAATAACTCATTTCTAATAACTGATTTATTTTATCTTTGCCATGATGACAGTAAATAATATTTGACTAGATATTTTGTAAGATACTAGTATTCATCTTAAAGGGATATTTAAAGTCTTAACTGGGTTAATTATGCAAGTTAGAGTAATTAAGCAAATAATTGTATAAAGATGATATGTTCTGAAGACTTTCAGAAAAAAAATTGCTTAAGGGGGCTAATAATATTGACCTTAAAACGATTTTAAAAAAATTAAAAACTGCTTTTATTCTAGCCAAAATAAAACAAACAAGACAGTGAACTGCAGTGAACTGATGACCTTCAAGGCCAATCACATTTCAAAACAGTAGTGTTTTAAAAATGCGCTCAACATTTGCTAACTAGTGCCATTTCCCCTAACTTAGCTGAAAATGAGGTCTGATATCTCTTTGTATTTTCACTATTCATTTAGAAAGGACCTTTAGGTCACCCGGAAGACGGGTGAAATGATAAATTTGTGTCACTTTCTCTTTGCTGATAAGATATACAGACAGGTACACAACATTTCTGTGTGACTCCATGCAATACTTCCAGGTTTCTTCCCACCGCAGCCTCGATTTCGCTTTTTGTATTTTTTTCAGCTTAAAGGGACATTTGAAGTCTTAGCAAGGTTAATTAAGGAAGTTTGGGTAATTAGGCAAATCATTGTATAATGGTGGTTTGTTCTGACAATCGGGGAAAAAAAAATTGCTTAAGGGGGCTAATGATATTGACCTTAAAACCATTTTTAAAAAATTACAGCCGAAATAAAACAAACAAGACTTTCTCCAGAAGAAAAAATACTGTGAAAATTCTCTTGCTTTGATGAACATAATTTGGGAAAAAATAAATAAATAAAAATAAATAAATCACAAAAGGGCTAATAAACTGTAGTCCGGGGTACATATTAGTCAGTTCTCAAAAATGTAGCCCAGGGCACATATTTCCAATATTTCCATTTTTTGAAGTCTCTGTGCGGAGCAGGAGGAAATCAGAAATGCCTTCACTCAACTAACAGCTCAATTATGAGAATAAACAGTTTACTGTGAGCTTCCTGCCACTGATGGAGGCGTCCGACCAGCTCTGCTTGGAAAGAGGTGCAGGTGGAGATTCCCGTACTCAGGAAACCGCACTTAATCGGATGAGGGGGCGAGAGCGTGGTGAGCGGCTGACGAATCGCTGTCCAGAGCGCCGCTTTAATCTGCTTTTGGGGTCGTCATGGGATCAGGGTGAAGTTTGGAGCCTCTGCAGGATGGCAGACTGCTGGCCACACCGTAAGTGGACAGTAATGTTATCTGTCTCTGTTTGCTTGAGTACTTAAAACCCAAAACACAGCCCTTGTTACACGCTTTCAGAGCTGATATTCAGTGTGTTGGGAATAAACGCAAATAAACTGTTTCCTCTCGGTGTACTTCACTGAATTTTTGTAACTCAATATAGGGTCAAATATGGACAAAACCTTTTATTGAGTTAAAAAAAGTAAACAATAAAGACAGATAGATAGAACGATAGAATTATTGATAGAATGATAGATAGAGCAATAGAATGATAGATAAAACAATAGATATAACAATATATAGGATGATAAAACAAGATAAGACAAGATAGAATGATAGATAGAATGATAGATAGAATGATAGAACAATAAAAGGATAGATAGAATAAAAGAGTGATAGCATGATAGAACAATAGAACAAACAATATATAGAATGATAGAAAAAATGATAGAAGGATGGATAGACAGAATGATTGATAGAATGATAGAAACAGATAGAACAATTGATAGATAGATAGATAGATAGATAGATAGATAGATAGATAGATAGATAGATAGATAGATAGATAGATAGATAGATAGATAGATAGATAGATAGATAGATAGATAGATAGATAGATAGATAGATAGATAGATAGATAGATAGATAGATAGATAGATAGATAGATAGATACACACACACAAATAAACAATATTTATTTATTATTAAGGGTAATTTTTTAATTTAGTATTAAAATACATTCTACATTTTATAAACATTCAGTGGATCAACCATAAAGTAAACTTTATTGCATACTGTGAAAAATAAAGAAATATACATATTATGGTTGGGGTATATACTGTAAATGTTGTAATAGAAATAAAGTAAATTGGTAAAATATTATTTCTTTCCCAATAAAGCCAATAATATAAAACCCAAAGTTCTAACAGCAACAGCACTTTCTTCTTTTCTCCTTCAAAGCTTTCAATTAAACCGAATCAATAATCCGGGATGTTTTTGCAGCTCCCGTCGTAGGTTTAGTGTCCCCCATAAAGACGTTGTTGTAAAAAACAGGCCAAAAGATTTCAAGCAGTAAACACATTTCTAATTAAACCCCCTTTTCCCATTCCAACTCACAACGTGAGAGTTTGATAAACAGGCTCGAAATGAAACGTTCATAAAAATGTTTCTCATGCGGGTTTATAGGAGTGTGATTAAAGCAAGCTTTTGGACTCACCTCTCAAAACCAATCTGTCGTATTGACTTCTCCCACACCGAACCTGGTAAATAGAAAAGATAAAGCTTTACTACCCGCTGCAGAGAGCTTTCCAGCACACTGACTTTAAAAGCAGAGGGTGATTCTGTGATAAAACAATGACATGATCGTCTTTGTCAAAGCACAGGGTCAATACAGGTCATTTCAGAGTGATGATTAATACGAGGAGGTGACATATAATCTTTTAAAATAGCTGGACGTGCTATTTAAAGACAGACGCTCCATCTTCATTTCACATTTACACATTCATTTTACTGAGCTTTTTTTGTTAGAATAGAAGCAGTTTTTACGTTTTTAAACACCATTTTAGGGACAAAATTATTAGCCCCTTTAAGCTATATGTATTTTCGATAGTCTACAGAACAAAACATCGATATATATTGGGGCAACATAGTTTTTTATGTTCAATCCACATAAATTTGTTAAGTGTTAACTTAATCGATTTGTGTTGGGTCAACATGAATAAATTATGTAGAACCTTGCATTTTTTACAGTACTGTAAAACCCAATAAGCTAAGGCAACTTAAATCGTTTGAGGAAACCGATTGCAACAAACCATTTGAGTTCAAAAACTAATCTATATGAGTAGTGTGAGGTATTTGATGAACTCATTACCTTTGATACTGAGTTCAAAACTCTTTTCAAATGAGTAGAATCAACTTTCAGTCTATTTTGGATTAACTAAACTCATTTTATTTGATAAAATTGACTATTGACTTTCACAGTGTGTGTGTGTGTGTGTGTGTGTGTGTGTGTGTGTGTGTGTGTATGTATATATATATATACAACAGTTCTGTCTGGTTCTCGAATCTGATTGGCTGATAGCCATGCGATATTCTGCAATATCAGCACCTGTACAGCCTCTTTACCCTTTGTGTATTACTCCGCCCGCATACAGCCAGCAAAAAGCAGACACTACAGATCTAAAGTTTAAAAGATGCACGCTCAGCTGTTTAACTGTCAGCTTATGGTTTGAATCCAACGCGAAAGAAAGTAGTTCCTCATACAAAAGGTTTTTGAGACTCTCCATGTTTGATTTGTTTTTATATACACAATTATACCGTCAAATTGTTGTATAGATGCAATATCACACTCGTAGCAGTGTGTTGTGGCTGTATATCGGCACTGGTGGGGGCACTAAGACATTCGCCCTGCGACCTCTTGCCAACACACGTGTCCCACTAGTGCCGATATACAGCCATATTGCACTGCTTCTCGTGTGATATTGCTCATATACGTACAACTGAAGTCAAAATTATTTGCCCTCCTGTCATTTTATTGAAATATTTCCCAAATGATGTTCAACACATTCAGGAAATTTCAAAGCATTTCCTCTAATATTTTTTCTTCTGGAGAAAGTCTTTGTTTTATTTCAGCTAGAATAAAAAGTTATTTTTTTAAAAACCCTTTTAAGGTCAAAACTATTAGCCCCCTTAATCAATATTTTTTAGATTGTCTACAGAACAAACCACTGATAAACACTCTCAAAAATAAAGGTTCAGGGGCTGTCACTGAGGCAGTACCTTTTCAAAAGATACATATTTGTACCACAAAGAGTCCACAGTGGTACCTCAAAGGTGCATATTAGTGCCCAATTGTTCCTAAAAAGTGAGGTACCATTATGGACCATTCAGGGACAAATATGTACCCGTTGAAAAGGTACTGCCCCAGTAACAGCTCCTGTACCTTTATTTCTGAGAGTGTACAATGACTTTCCTAAGTATTCAAACTTTAACCTAATTAACCTAGTTAAGCTTTTACATATCACTTTAAGCTGAACGCCTAGTATCTTAAAAATGATCTAGTCAAATAGCATGTGCTGTCATCATGGCAAAGATTTAAAAATAATAATCATTTATTAGAGATGAGTTATTTAAACTATTATGTTTAGAAATGTGTTGAAAAAACCTTGGGGCGAGGCAGTGGCGCAGTAGGTAGTGCTGTTGCCTCACAGCAAGAAGGTCGCTGGTTCGAACCTCAGCTCAGTTGGCGTTTCTGTGTGGAGTTTGCATGTTCTCCCTACCTTCGTGTGGGTTTCCTCCGGGTGCTCCGGTTTCCTCCACAGTCCAAAGATATGTGGTACAGGTGAATTGAGTCGGCTAAATTGTTCGTAGTGTATGAGTGGGTTTGTGAATGTGTGTGTGGATGTTTCCCAGAGATGGGTTGCTGCTGGAAGGGCATCTGCTGCGTAAAAACTTGCTGGATAAGTTGGCGGTTCATTCTGCTGTGGCGACCCCGGATTAATAAAGGGACTAAGCCGACAAGAAAATGAATGAATGAATGACAAAACCTTCTTTCCATTAAACCAGGGTTTCTGCAGGTTTCACCAAGTTAAATTTAAGACATTCAAGACCATTATGAATGAAATTTTAGATTTATACAGGGCTAAATGCTAAGGATTGTTTTTCGATTATCCCAGTTAGAAAATATTTGCATTTGACCTATCAAAAAATGATTATAATTTCATTTAATAATACAACAATACTTTTGTTTGAATTTTTTTTTTCAATTTTCAAATATATCCATTCACAAACCCTATAACCCTTATCAAGAATAGACAAAGCTGTCATATTTTTCAGTCTACAATAATAATAATAATAATAATTTAGTAATAAAAATATAGATCAGGTCAGTATCTTCAGCAGTAAATAAATGGAGAACTTTTAAAGCAAATGTTACTGTAAGGAAAGTAATTAAATGTTATTTTTAAATAAAATTAAAAGTTTGATTGAGATTGGGATTGTTGGTGATTGTATGAGTGTTAATGGCCAGATTGGGTAGCTATCCAAGATCAAAAATAAAATAAGACCAGTTAAAAAAAAGGTTTAAGACCCACAACACAATATTTCAGTAGAATTAAGACTTTTCAAGGCCTAAAATTTACATTTTGAGACCCTGTGAAAAAAATACGCAGGAGGGCTAATAATTCTGACTTCAACTGTATATATAAAACCATAGTAAAATTGTACATAAACAAGGGCATAAAAAACATTAACATTTTAATAGAGGCATTAAAAGGCAAGGCAAGCTTATTTATGCAGCTCATTTCATACACAGTGGTAACTCAAAGTGCTTTACATAAACAAGAATAAATGAAGCAAAGAATCAAAATGATTATTAAAAATGATAGTATTATATTCATTCACTCATTTTCCTTTTGCTTAGTCCTTTATTCATCAGTGTTCACCACAGTGGAATAAATCGCCAACTTACAGATCTGGCATGACAAGCATATGTTTTACACATCGGATGCCCATCCAGCTGCAACCTAGTACACCCATACACATTCATTCACACACATACACACTACGACCAATTTAGCTTAACCAGTTCAACTATAGTGCATGTGTTTGGACTGTGGGAGAAACCGGAGCACCCAGAGAAAACCCACGCCAACACGGGGAAAATATTTATAATATTGGAAATATTGTATGCATGTATATATTAAGATTATATATACTCCATCCCAGACTTACCTAGATGCAAACTCCATTGTCTTAGAAGGATACCTATGACATTATATTTAAATGATCATGATTTATTTATTTATTTATTTATTTACTTACTTACTTACTCATTTACTCAATCATTCATAGATTATATATAGTCATCTTGATATGATTAAAAGTTTTTAACTGTGAATTTTGGTGTTTTGCATTTTACATTTAACAATAAAGTGGTTTAGACAATTTTCAGTCCATGTCCTAAAGCCGGCTCACACTGTGAGATTTTTTAGAATCCAGAACGATTGTAGCATGTCGGACTGCACGAACATGGCTCCCATGTCACACTGTAAGATCTCAGCTGCCATAAAGTCAGATTGAACGACAGTGAAGATGCACCAAACACGGAAGAAAACTCTCCTGGAGTTTTGCACTGAGCGTGTCTCAATAACAATACCAGAAAAAAAAACGTTTTGACATTTTCTTGCGGTTGTTTGAATTGTCGCATGAATTGAGTCATCAAATTCAGAGCTCCCATTGGTTCTTGGACTGATGCTCAACGCTGCTGTTGTCTCTGAAATTTTCTGACACTGCAGAACTTCATCTGAGGAAAACCAACAGACTGAAAGACAGACAGGCTGTCAGGAAGCTGAACTCTCTCCCAGCTCTGCTCACCGCTCCCTCCCCACGCACCTCCTCCCCTCGCACCTCTGGACTCTGACACACATACACACACACACACACACACACACACACACACGCACACACGCACACGCACGCACACGCACGCACACACACGCACACACACGCACACACACGCACACGCACGCACACGCACGCACACGCACGCACGCACACGCACGCACACGCACGCACACGCACGCACGCACACGCACGCACACGCACACACACTCATCTGCACTGGTCACTTTATGCAGACACACTATACTACCTCCCAATATGTCAGTCACTTCATCACAATTATCATGTTTATCACAATTATCGTGTTTACAAGTTCTTTTTGCACTATACTGTTTTTTATCTGCACAACTCTGGTTTACTTTGCACTCATTGCTATATGCCCTTAATGTCACTGTATTGTTTACAATTTTTATTACATATGTATATTTTTAGACCACATTTATGTGCAATGTATATACTGTAAATTTTCTTTTTTTCTTAAACTCTACTATTTTTTATATATATATTTTATATTAATGTTAAGCACCTTGGGTCTGAGAGTAACGCAATTTCGATTCTCTGTATGTCTTGTACATGTGGCTGAATTGACAATAAAGCTGACTTTGAAATCTGATTGCAACGGGCACTAAGCGGCTGTCAGTAAACATGTCAAACCAACGATCAACGACCACAAATTTTAGCCTGGGGTTTTTAGGAATCTTTTAGGATTTCCCAAATTTGTCACAAAATCACGGCTGAAATCTCACATTGTGAGCAGAGCTTTACTCAAAACACCTTGTAACTTATGGAGGCCGAAACCTGCAAAAACAATAAATAAATAAATACGCAAACAGATAAAAAGTTTCCTGCATAAGTAAAA